TGGGTTCCGCCGCCAGCTCAGCGCCTGCCAGGGTGCCGACAGGCGAACGACGCCGCGGGCTGCAGCTGGGAACAGCGGGGGAAGGACGGCTGCGGCCGCTGCTCTGCGAGACACACTTCTCTCTGCGTGACTGTAAACTGCACACAGACGTGAGCCTGTGATTCGGCATAACGCGTGTGAAGACTGAAAGAAAATACGTATGTCAGCATTTAAAAAAAAAAAAATATTTAGGGAAGACTGCTTACGGTTAGGCTCCAGTCCTGCCCTATCTTTGATTGCCCGAGGCTCACAGAAGAAGATACCAAGGGAAGATAAGGCCTCAATTTACATGCTGCAATCATCTATGGTGAGGCAAAAATTAAACTACAATATGCATACGCACACACTGCTTATGTGCTTTATGATCGGCGCACACACACAGCACTACAGTGCCCGACCGAACACGCACATGTTCATACAAGCTAAGTAATGAGAAAAAGTGATCCGGGTAGTTTTCTACAGAGCTAGTTAGAATTCTTCACACAGAATTGGTGCTGCCACCAAAGGCCCTTCCCTCAGGGCCCAGGCCCCTAGCCCGTCCCCTGTGCAGGGCAGCAAACGATGCACCACGCCAAGAAATGGATGGCCTTAGCCGATAGGAACGAGCCGTGCACGGACATGGAGCCTGGCCCTCAACCCAAGCTACCGGGAAAGGATCATCTTCATGAACAGATCCGATCACAGGCCTGGAGTGTCGCCGGAATCTGCAAAGCACAGAGACTGCTTTGGCATATTGACAGCCAAATTCTAAACGTCATTCTTCAAATAACTCCTACAGAAAGGCAGCCACACTGACTTGGTCTAAAACAGTCTTACACCTTCCTCATCAGGTAAGAACAGGAACCAAGTGAATAGGCAAGCTAGAGGGGTACAAGAGCCAGCAAAAATGCAGACAAATCTCCAGCTTATGAATTGTCCATAATTACCACATTCTCTGCAAAACCTGTGCTGCATGCAAATACGAGCCCACTGTTGCAGGTGAGATCAGTTCAGGGCTGAAGACGAGCTGACTCATGTGGCACCCAAGCACTAAACAGGTGATGGTAACGGACAGAAAACAGCGGTAAGTAATAAAACTTACTGATTTTATTAAAGCCAGAATGTAAGAATTCATTTTTCCATGTTTTTCTCAATTTGGGAAATAGAGAATTCATTCAAAAGAAAATTTCCAACTTATTCACATTACTAATGCAAAATGAGCCAAGCCTCTATAAAGCAACTGCCTTTTTTCCTATTTTGGCAGAAAAAATGGGAGCTTTGATTTTTCCAGCTGAAAAGGGTAAAGAAAGAAACAAAGAACACTTTCAATTCTAATATAACATTAATTATTCTAGGACTGATCTTTTCTAACATACAGAAATTAGTTCAGTATTACTAACTACATTAAAACCAAATTAATTCAGCTACGAAACACGCATATTTTGTGATCTGTTTTCAAAAAAAACCATCAGGAGCACAGACAGCATTTTATTTTAGCCTCTGTAAAAAAACAGTAATATTTAATTAAGAAGTAAAAAGGGGAAAAGAGTGCTGGAAAATACTACAATCTATCACCTAATACTTATTCAAAGCCATAAATCTGTACAAAACATACTATTGCCTAGAAGTATTTTTCATTTAACCTTGGATTCAACTGTAATTGTTGCTACACAATTCACATAATTTAAATGAGGGAGGGGGGAAAATCTACCTACTTAGATTTCTCTGTATTCCACAGCTTAACTGCGTTCCAGGCTGTCACATGCCCAGTTCCAAATATTTCCCCCACTTTAAGTTCCTTTTAGTAAGTAATGTTGAAAAGGTTGAAAACACTGTTTTTAGGCATAAGGCTTCCAAACATTTTGAAACACTTAAATCTTTTATTAATTGACATTCTCACATATATTGAATAGATATAATCCTCTCAGGGCTGCTCCTAAGAAAGGGTAGAAAAAACACCATGCTGCTTGTTGGAGGGAGCCTTTATTACACAGAACTAATTTCTGCTGCACCATGTCAAACATGAGCCACAACTTACTCCCTGAATGCCTGAAAGCTCCTTTACAAAATTTCTGTAAGGGGCAAGGCAACAAGCGAGAAAAAAATTCATGGTCTTATTCATGGTTTTACTCACAAAACTCACTCTGACATCCACTGACAGCAAAGATTCTTTGTTTGCCATAGCAAAGAAGAATGGTTTATCTAAAGAATGGAAGGAAACCTGTCAATAATTTACATAGCCACATATTTTCTTTAGTAATTTAGTAATTTTATTCTCTAGTACCATGCAGCATAAATAAGACTTCTATTCCTAGGGACGTTATTCGTTACCTGATATGTCACAGCTATTTAATGGATTAGTACAATCCATTTTATTATCCTTCATACAGAATACTACAGTAGAGCAAGGTTAGAGGCAAGTCTTAGTTTTATATGTGCATTACATAAAGATGTAAAGACACACCACTTATACTTACATGTGTTAACACCTCAAGATGGCTAGATGAACTTAAAGTTATCAGGAGAAACAAAAGGTGGCAATGGCAAAATTTTTCTCACTGGAGAAGACAGACGACATAATACACACTTGGACACCATTTCAGAGTCGTTACGTTGCAGGCATAAGAAAGGTTTTTCACATTCTTCTATGTCAGCATTTAATAACAAAAAATGTCATGTAAATATAACAAAAAATGTCATTTTCAGTTAATCATCTGTGTCAGATGTGCATTATTTCACTCATGAAGGTACATACATATATGCTCTATATACACACACATCTCTAGGCCTAATTTTTGAGATGCACTGACTGCATACAGCTGTCATAAACTTGACCCATAGTGCTGCTCAAAATTCATTCCTGTGATGAAAGATTTGGAGTTTTTTTCCCTGAATAAAACTACATTTTGTGTGAACTCTGATTTTGTTTTTTCCAACTAATACAGTATCATACTTTACTTTTTGGGTGATTTGATGGGTATCCTGTTTTTAGCTGTTCTGTCTTGGTGATAGTCATTAGGTGGTTTGGGGCTTTTTTTGTTGACTTTTTTTACTTGACCATTATCTGACATGTAGAAAAAAAAAAAAAAAAGAAAACTGATACTTAACAATAATTTTAGATGAAATATTAACCCACTGTAGTCAGTACAAAGAAGTTTTTCTGCTGACTACACACAGTCATGAAGTTTAATCCACTTCTATCAGAGTCAACATAACATTGATTCCCAATTCACTACTCCTGAAACTATTTACAAAACATTTGAGACATTTTTCTAATTGTTTGGTATGCTTTAAGTATTGCTAAAATACACCAAAAACATCCTTTCCTGTACCAATTTTAGCCATATTCTCAAATTTCTGTTAATTAATAAGTTTAGGAATGTACACATTTCCACTGCTGCCACATTTATAAAACTTACTTAAAAGCTTAAAAAGCTATACAATGCTTTTGAATACCTGCTATTCCACAAGGAATTCTGATAAAAATATTACAGAAAACATAAAAAAGTTAGTTATTCTTCATGCAGTCTTAATGGTTATTGACAAGGAGAAAAACATACACAAGATCTTGCAAATCCACTACCAAGACCAACTGAGGGATTGTAATAAACAGCAAGTTTCAATAGCATTAATCTTGCTAATGTTCTTCTTTCCTAACGTCTATTTATAATTCACGTTTTACAAGTCAGAATACATACAGTCTCAGCTTTAAAAAGACACTCCTCAGAATTCGCATAAGCTGATTTATGTCCAAGAGCACATGAATATTACCTGCCCTGGTTTAGATAAGCCATCAATTACTCTGCAGAAGCATCAGGTGTAGAAAACCAAAATATGTTTATTTTTAAAAGTACACATATGTGGCTGTGCTTTTAGAAAACAAAAATGCACCTGTGTATGAAAACCAGTGTCCTTACAAAAATAATTTTTAAAAGGAACTGTTATTACTACATCTCACTCCCAAAAAAGGATTTGACAATCTTTGCAAATAGAGAACAAACACAATCAATTTGTATTTTCAGCATAGAAATCTGACAGCTTTCCTTTAACATTCAAATTTTCTCTCTGAATAAAGTATGAGGTGTGGTTAAAAACCAAAGTGATAGAACCTGAGCAATTTTTGAGCCTCTTGCTTTTCTGCTTTCTATCACTGAAGGAATATGATCCATCTTTTCAATATTCCACAATCTCAAAGTAGAATCCTGAAAAAAAGATGCAATTATTTGGATGTATTTGCATATTACCAAAAGAGTGATTTACAGCATTTCCATAAGGATGAAATCTCATCTCATCAGATGAACCCTCTCAATATAAGAGCTAAAATCTCTCACATTTAAATACTATGTTGTTGGAAACAATCTTTCGCAATCTTAAAATTGCCTGTACATTTTAAAATAACCAAAAATAAATGTACTTATCAAATTCTTTTAAAGATTTGCTGTAATTACTTGAGGTAAATACTGATTACAACTTAGCACTTTTAGGAATAACTTTAGCATTGTTAAATTTCATCCCCAAAAAAGCTGAAAACAACTTCCATTTATAAGTTAGCTCCTGAAACCACATCAGGAATTAGTGATTACCTTTGAGGCTGAAAGAATCCATTTCTTGGTTTTGCTAATTGCAACATCTGTCACCCAGTCCCAATGACCCTATAGTAAAGCAAAATTTAATTATAACACAAGGCAAAAAGCTTTATTATTTTTATTATAATAAAAACAACTATTTGTACCATAAATCCATTTTGAAATGCAGCGAGAAAATTCTTAATTAGACGGCCTCATGTCCAGTCAGGAAAAAATGTTGCTATGAAGTTCATACTTTTCTACACATAGCTGAAAACAGTGGCTGTTACCATCTCTGGTGACCAGACCACCAGTTTTAGCAGTCAGAAAAATTAGTTACCATGGATTTAAGCTCCATTGAAGCACAGGTCTTTTCTGTTTTTTAAACAGTTTAATAAAAAATTGTAAAGAGAGAGCTGACTTCTAATACTTATTACCTAAAAAAATCTTGAGGCTGTTTATCATGTGGTACTGGAGGGAAGAACTGTGGGAACAGACACCAGCTTCCCCCATTTTGCGGGAAGGAAACCAGTTCTGAAAGCAGGCCAAGCCACGCAGCTGTTATTGGATATCCTCGTTCTGACAACAGCAGCACAGCTGATTTGAGGTTAACAGCATTGAGTTGGCATAAGAATAGAAACAGGTTAAAATCTAAAATTAATTATTTACTCCAGCTAGGGAGGCTTTCAAACATGAATAACAACAGATAAAATTCCTTGAGTTTTAGGAAGGCATGGTGTCATTTTGATAGACAAATGCCACACCTCAGAAATACAATAAAACATATATTTTTTCCAGCACAGAGTAGTCAAACATGCATACATAAAACATGGTTTTCATAGCAGAATCTTTAATACATGTTTTTAAATTTAGTTATGAGCCCAGAATATAATTATATAATTATACCAAGGCACAGATACTAAACTGGAATTCTCCATAGTTACAAAGATATTAACATTTAAACAGATGCCTTCTTTTTTTATGGGAAACTGAGCTACTTACAGTGATTGCTGTGAACTGGGAAATTTGCAGTAGCTGTATTACGTAAAGCACCGACGCTGGTGGAGAACATGTACTGTTACTGCTCAAAAGGTTTTATCAGTACAGTTCCAATTCCGGAAGGCAGGTAAGCGCTTACATTTAAGGTAATGGGTGTGAGGCACAGGTTTATGAGCTCTCCTGTTTAAGATGCTGTCTTGAATGCTGACAGCAGTGGCAAGCTATTTTTAAGGCCAAGGCTTTGAAGGAAAGTGGTCTTTTCTGAGGTGGCTTTGTTCATGAGTGTTTTAACTAAGGCTTGAATAGTGTATGCAGTAAGTAAAAAAAAGTCCACTAAAATCATATTTTCATAAGATAGGGAAGAGCCAAGGTTGCAAATCTGAACTTTGACATTGCTTGACTTTTGTGAAATTGGTATTTGCAAAATGCATGCACATAAATTTACGAATATTGTTAATCCTTTTCTTTGACCCACATGTCTGATCATTAGTTGAAGTCTTGTGGATTGCTTCCACTAAAATAAGAAACAAATAAAAGGGATCGTAATACAATATGGTATGTTTGCAAAAAATAAAGTCATGACAGCACAAAAAACCCCTAACGAGAGTTCAGCTTTTTAAAATTTTATGCAGGTATTACTTACTGCCTCAAGTTTTGGGTAGACTTACCACGGATATGGAAGAAAAGAGCAGGCCTAGCTCTAAGCAGGGATAGCTAAATACTGAATAGCTACCTCATTTACAGAATTGTCCATTCTAAAAAGTACTGGAGCATGGTGGACCACATCCGTGTCACTATAAGCAGTAATGTAAACTATGTAACCAGGGGATTGAGTTAAGCTTGACAACCTCAACACCAATATTTATTTTTTTTTTTAAATGCTTCTCTTTAAATGCAGTATTTTCTATGGACATAAGCAATGTCCATGTAAACATACAGATATCCAGAGTGTGGCATTTCAAAATGAATATATGTACTATCCAGGCTCTTGTTACTTGCTGGAAGAAACTGTCTCCTAGAACATAGGTACAACTACATTCAATATAATCCTTAAATGAGCTTGCTCATAAAAGGAGAAATGTAATAGCTTGTTAACAACTAACTCGACAAAAGTAGTATCTTTGTAGCTAACTTTATAATAACATACTGTTCTAAGAAATTAAATCTCACAAATCCAGGATATATTCCTGCCTGTATCTAAAAGGACAGGCAAAGGTATTTATCAGATAATTAAACATACAATGCATTTAAACCAGCAATACATTTTACACTTTCTCATCAAACTAGTAGTCAAGTAAGAGCTCAGTACCTTTAAGCTTAGCTTTTTATAGCCTGCATCTGTATCCCATACAGCTATAGTTTTGTCATATCCACCAGACACAACAAGTGATGCTGAAACATAAAATCACAAAACTCTTATTTTATCTTTGCTTTGTCATACAGACTAACAAAAGACACTCCTTCTAACAGCGAATCAGTCTTTATTAAAAAATTTAAATAATGAGCTATTAGACATGCCTTAACAAGATACTAGAAGTTCCTTTCTGCTACTTGTTGTTAATGTTCTTAATTTCGTAAATATTAATACATAAATTCAGCAAACATAACTGGATGGAAAAAAAATACATGAAAATTTTGTTGACTTAGAAAATTAAGGAGATACCTTGTTTAAAAATTAAAATACAGAGAATACTTTCAGAATTGTTCCGTCAACTGTGAATAAAAACAAAAAAGTAGAGTTTAGTGTGGAAAGCATGCTTTCAGATTTCAATATTCACAGGTCTGTCTGCATTTTCATGTCTTCCAGTCACAGGTACATTTTTGCCCCCACAGTTGCTCTTTACTTATTTGAGTTGCCTAACTCGGAAAGCACTGGTTGGGTATGACTGCAGTTTAACTCACTGTCAGCAGTTCGAGTCCTCTTTACTGGAGTATTTAGATGTAAAGTTGCAAAAGAAAAGCCAATTGGATCACAACGTACAGAAATTCATCCATCCCAGTGAAGAGAAGCTGTTTCAGCACAGCAGTTTGCAGTAACACTAATTTCATGTTGTGGAAGGACTAGGAATTGTATATAATCTAGTGAAAGTAATGGAACTAGGGCAGTAAGACAGCTCCCCACTACCTCCATTCAGATAAAGGGAAACTGGGGAGTCTGTTTCTTCCTCCTGTTTTCTTTCTATCCATCCAAGCATCAAGGAGATACCAAGTTCCAGGTGCCAAATTGTCTTTCTATAACTCATAAACATCACCTACTTTGAACAAGGTAGTTTACGTGCTCCATCAGCGTAGCTGAGAACCTACCATGAAGTTTTTCAGAATACAACACTAGCATATGTTGTTTGGGCTATGCAACATTACTAGCTCTAAGCAGGGATACCTAAATACTGAATAGCTACCTCATTTACAGAATTGTCCATCCTAAAAAGTACTGGAGCATGGTGGACTACATCCGTGGTGGACCACATGTAATATTACTATTACATGTTTGGGCTAAGCAACATTACTTTTGAGGGTACTGAGAGAGACATACACATTCTCCTAATTGTTACAGATCAGGACAGTATTTACTGAACATATTTTTTCAACTAACTAATGTTAGGACAATATCCACAAATGCTAAGTTAGTCTTCTAAAATTGTATCATTCTTTTACTCCACTATGATCTTTTTATTATACTTCTTGATGGGTATATCAATTTAAGCAAGTGTTCCAGCTGCCTGGTTAAGACAGAACACAAACCATCAACTTCAATTTACTTATTTACATGGACATAATTTTCTCTTAAGTAAACATGTTATCTTGGAAATGATGAATTAATTACCTACATGATTAGAGTGGTCACTTGTGGTTCATCTGAGATGTCCTATACGTAGGTATTGAGATACATCATGCACTAGTACTAAGATAACTCACCATCTTGGCTAAAAAGGCAGGAACTAACAGAACCTTCATGTCCTTGGTTCAAAGAAACAGGTTCATGACACTGAAATTCTCCTGTCTTTACATCCCATATTTTTAAGCTTTTGTCCCAGGATGCTGTGCACAAGTAATGACCATCAGAGGTAAAGCAGCAATCTGAGATAGCATTGCTGTGTCCCCTGAAACACAGATGAAAAATACAGGATGAGTGAGCTTCTGTAACCGTTACAGATCTCTCAAAGGGCCTCCTGCAATACTAAGCACCCTGCCTCCATCCAGTAAAGTACCATAAGCATATTCTGGACTTTAACCATATGAATAGTTCTGTAAGGTCTCTGAGTCTGCAGGAGCTTAAATCCTCTATTGGATTAGGTCATTCTGCAGGATTGAACCCTACCTGTCAAGTGACAAGTGACCAGCTTTTTCTTCTTGTTGAATTCAGCTTAAGAAGAAATTGCTTAGCAGCTACAACACAATCACATTTTACTAAAAGAAAGTTACCAAGAAAGCCACCTGCTTTTCATTAGAGAAATAGCATGCATTTATCTCTACATTCTGTCTCGTTCAGAGGAAAAAGATTAATCAGTTCTAGATTAAAGTCTCATTTTGGAAGCAATGATACCCATCAGAAAAGAAATCTGGGCGTTCCAGAACTGGGTGAGGACTGTAGTGCTTCCTGAAATCTATAGTGGAGAAAAGATTATGAGCATCTCTTACAGGAAACAATGCTGTACTCACTGCAATTTAAAAGAAACATTACAGTTTTCCAGATTGAATTTCTCATCCTAAGCAATTCCTAATCCTGCAAAGACAATTTTATTACGGTGTTTAAAGGTAGACTCTCTCTCTGATTATTAAGAATTCAAAGCTAAATTGGTTGAGTTTATTTAAAGCCATTGATATTTTTAACGGTTGATTTGACATCTCTGCTGTTGCATACTTCCTTCTTAAAATGTTAACAATATCCTAAATTGACATGTTTTTACTGTATTACTGACTTCAGTGAGAGATGCAACTGTTTAGCTTGTGAAGGCTGAGGAGATCATACTGAGCAAGGCTTCTGGCACTGGGCATGACCTTCCCCAAAAGCACATAAAGAAAAATGATCTGGAAAAATGATCTCTGTCCTCAGAGATCATGTACCAGATCTCTGTACTGCTTCACTGTGAAAATGAAAGTACATATTGAGCTGGGGTCCACAGCATCTGTCCTGAATCCAGTCCTATTTCATAATTCCATTAACAATGTAGATAATGAGATATAGAGTACAGATAAGAAATGAAGCCAAAGAGGGTCTGCAGTTATACAAGGGAGAATTCAAAATTATCTTCACAAATTGCAGAAATTATCAGGAAAAAAGAAGGGTTGTAACAGTCTCCATAGGAAACAATGTTGTCGTCACTGCAATTTGTAGGACTGTTACAGTGTTTCATCAATTACCATCAATACACATGCTGCCTAATCAGGTCATTTTTGTCAAGTGTGACATTCTGTAGTAACATACAAATAATCAACTACACAGATAAGGGGTGGGAACAATGGACTACATCACAGTTCTGCAAAAAAGGATGCAACAAATATTGACTCCTATTCACCATAATGCTGTCAAAAAAAGAGTAAATCTCATCCCAGGAAGTATGAACAGAGGAACATCCACAGAGAAGCATGTAATAATAATTAATTTCTATTTTTCTTCCAGTTAGAGGGAATACTGTTTACATTATGGGGCCATATAATCCAAGAAAAATGTGGGCCAACTGCAAAGATCTCACAGATCAACAAGAAGAACGATTAGTAAAATAGGAAGTAATAATTACATATTAAATGAATAAGGATGGTTTAATCTACTGAAAAGATGACTCGGCACATGTAATAGAAGTTCTTGGATACAAATAAAAATGCAGAAGAAAACAAGGGAATAATCTGATCTCCATGTCTGAAGTGGATCTAAACAGAAACATGTGAGCTTAAGCTGCAGCCAAAATAGTCCACCTTTGGAAAACCAGAGTGAAGCAATGCAACAGATTGTTTAGCAGTCTGTGAGGCCTTCACTGGAGCTCATTAGGAGAAGAGTAGATCATCCTGTGGTTACTCTGAGGTCCATGAATTTTATGAAGGGCTAAACTGATCTGGTTGGAGTGCAAAACCTAATCATCACAAAATATTCTGTAAGAATTCATGATTAATTATCAATTCCCAACATCTAGCTATATTGTCCCCTTTTCCTCTCTATTATTTTTGCTTCACTCCCTAATGTTTTTAAAGACTTCACTGTTCTAAGTAATATTTTATCTCCTCATTCATCAATGATTATACATTTTTTCTAATTAGTAGAAAATGGAACAAGAAGTTTACACTGCAGTACCATATTGCATATACTATCTTCTGCCTCCATATATACCTGAGAACCTAGAAGCTCTAAAATAATAGCACTAGAAACGCTCAGTCATCTAAACACAATTTCAATTATTTACAGCAGGAAGCTTGAGTGGACCATTTTATTCACGCTTTCTAGATATGTAAATTGTTTGTGTATTACTTTATTTACTTCAACAGTTATTGTTTATTTTCTCTGGTACAAATCTCAGCATAAATCTCACTAATAACTGTAAAAGATGCAAATAATGACATGCATAATTAACTACTGTATTGTTTCTTACTCATTAATTGTAATTGAGGTGGATCGTGTTACCATATCCCATAGCTTTATGGTCTTATCGTATGATACTGAAGCCACTCTTTGGTTATTAGGATCAAAACAACATCTCGTGATTGTACTTCTGTGATGACCTATACAAAAAACATCAAGTGAGACTATTAGTTATTTTGAATAATTACATCTGATCACAGAACACAGGTCTGAAAGTCAGAACTAGCTAGAAAGTCGGAAAGAAAGTCAGAACTGTCAGAAGACAGAACTTCTATGCATCAGTCTGTTTCCAACACACTGTAATTTCAAAATTGCTATTTCACTGGCTAGGACACCTCCTCACCTACCTCTCGATGAAAGAGAGGTCTCACAGTTACTGCAGATAGTATGAAATACGAACCTGTGCCCAGGCACTCAACATACACACACAGTTAGAATTCACATGCTGCCCTGTAGTAACTTACTTCTCTGCTCCATTCCTGAAAATAAGTCCTGAAGTGTGGCCCCATAATGCCAATGACAGTTAACTGGTCAGACTCTTAGGGAGCACTTAAGCAGGTAATTCTACTTTAAGAATGCATACAGCTCCATTATTATACTTTAAGAATATGCATACACCTCCATTAAAATAACGTAAACAAAATATGTCCTGATAGTGTCACCTAACAGAGACAGTTCTAATGAAGCTATTATGATCCATTTGTTGCACTTTTATTTTTAAACCCAAATGATTTTACCCTCAGGCTTTGATTCACAGGAGCATGTTAACCATATGCTAATTTAACATTTGTAAGACTGCTCATATATTTAGAAGCTGATTCTGCAGGAATGGCAATCTCCCTGACCTGCAGTCCTGAGCAGAAGCCTCATCGGACTGAGGTCTCTACTAGTGAAATTACCTTCAAAGGGAAATGATGCTTCAAAAAAGATTCACTGTTGGTCTAATTTTGGCCCATTATCTCATATATCATTATATAAGCCTATTCTGAAAAATACTGAGTTTAATGTCTTACAGATAAGTTTCTTTTGCCTTTCTCAAGTAAAGATATTTGAACTGAACTAATTAATTTTCTCATTTTTTTGTAAGAGATTAAAAAAAAAAAAATCAAGAGCCGCATAACCAACATGTAAAAGTCGTAAGTCTTACCTTGGACATGTGCCACTACTGTTGCACTTATTGCATCAAAAACGTAAATGGTATTTTCTTGGTCTGAACCAGATACCACACATCTACCATCACAAGAAATATTACAAGAAGTTACAATGCCGTCATGTTTTACTGTCCACTAAAGAGAAAATAAAAGGTTTTAGAAACATCCTTGAGGGTTAGAGAGAGTTTTACAGTAGACTTTCTATAATCTGTAAGCTGGTTCAGAAAGAAGGCTTTCGATACTACTTTGTTTTGGTGAAGACTGATAGGTGTCTTTATAGCCATTTTTCTATTTTTACATTAGCAATAAACTTAAAATTAGACAATGCCACCCTGTTCAAATCCTAAACTGTTAATTTAATCCATCTTAAATGTATCTTCTGAGACAGGTTATTATTATCATACCCATTTGTATCTGAAATAACTGAGACATTCATCAAGAGGCTTACCCGAGATCAGGCAATTATCAGTATAAAAACTAGGACTAAAAATCAAGCCTACCTACCCTAACTATACTGTATAGTACTAGCAGAGAATGTTTTGTTTATGTATCAGTAACAAAGCAATAAATCTGAACTTTACAGTTGTACCTTCTGCAAGATGCATTTGAAAGGATACATACAAGCATTTTTCCTGTTTCCATATCCCAAGCCTTGACAGTGTTATCATATGACGATGACACCACTCTAAAAATAATGTTAATGAAAACAGCAATCAATGTTTTCACTTAAAAGAAGGTATTTAAAAAATAAATGACAATATTTAATTCTGACAACGATTTCACATCCTCATATCCACTGATTTAAAACAGATTTTTAAAGGCTATGGTAAAAATTATTGCATCGCTTAGGTGAAAAAAGGATTATTTGTATTTCAGATCTAAACTATTAATAAAAACGTCATGTATGTAATCTTCAGTGCAAGTAGTCAATTTAATTTTATCTATTACAAGATACTTAATTATTTCTAACATTAGAATAATTTTATATAAGCCATTGTGATGTCTTTTCTCTAATGAATGTGAAGTGTTCTTGTCAGTAGGGGTTTTTTTTTGATTTTCAGTGGTTATGTTGCTGGGTAACCCTCTACCACAAACGCTCCTCTGCACAAACACAAAGCCACATTAGACAACAAAGCTATTCAATAAAGTTTACTAAAACTGGCAGGTTTCCATGAAATGGGAGGTCAAAAATTTTTCCCTCACACAGTTTTATTAAAATATTCACAAATATCTGAATAATATTTATATTGAATGTCACTAGATATGACAAATATTTTTAGTACCATTGTGGCTTTTTATTCTCATAAAGTTCATGAACTGTCACTTTTGTATATTTTGCCCAAGAAAATCAAAGCATTAACATCCTAACAACTAAAAAGAAAAGTATTTTAATAATTGTATTTTCTCCACATGTGTATACTTCCTGCAACCAACACAATATCTGCTCCTAAACAGAAACACATTGACACAAAAGACCACATGAAGTTTATAAACTGACAACTTTTCCGACTGTAAAGTGGTTTCCAGTGCCATACACAATGGCACTTTATTTGCTGTTTAGCAATTTTCAAAAATATACACAATTGCAATAGGCAGCATAGCATGTGTACTATTCAGTGATCAAAAAACTAATCAGTCAACCCTACAATCTGATAAAAATTGATTTACTATGACTTAATGATAAAACATGCCAGAAATAGTACCCCTGGAGGTACGGCATGACCTACTTCACTGAATGTTAATATATGCTGCAGTTGTCTTAATTATTATGTCCACAGATTGACACTGGATTAAGATGCATTTCTTCTTTAATTGACAAGACAGGCTTAATGGAAAGGCTACAGAATATTAATAAGCAATACAGACAGAAGAGAACTTTTGTGAAGGTATAAATCTCACTGACAGATGAACTCCTGAACTTTGGCTAACTCAATGTTCTTCTTTTATACAAGTGATATTTGCATACCCCTTTCAGATCATATTGCAAAGATAGACTTCTAGCCCTGTGTAACTCAAAAACAAAATTAGACAAATCCTTGATCCTAAAGGAGCACATAATCTATCAGACTATGCAAACACGCACTTACGACAATAAAAAGATTCCTGTTTAATTCAGCAGACCTCATATGCAAAACAGAAAAGATTTAAGATCTCCGGTACAAACTGTAGGCAAGAACAAGGTGAGATTTGTGGTAGTTCATGTGAATGAAGCAGTCTGGCAGTAAACAGTCTGCTAGCAGAGTATGGACAGCATAAATGGAAGTGCAAGGATGGAAAAAAGTAGGAGTGTATGGAGGAATGGAGGTGTAAGACAAAATTATAACAGAATGACATCATGGAGCTAAGCAGAAGAAGTTTGATGTAGTACAAGTTAGAAAACCATAGGATGGATTGAAAAAGTAACTTAAGTGTTCTACATTTTGTACTAAGTGTTCACACATGCACTGAACCTGAACCTTGAAATCGCAAACCCCATCTTTTTTTTTAATAAATTAATTAGAAAGTGGTCACCTTCTGTCATCAGGAGTCAAGCTGCACTCAGAAATTGGGGCAGTATGTTCTTCTTCAAAAATTTGAATAGGAAAACTTTTCTCAACATCCTTGAATAAATCCAAATGAGTTTGATTAGGAAGTGCTTTGCTAAATTGTAAAAAAATACAAAGCATCACAAAATAAGGGAAAACAAAAACTTGTGAAATCAGTAAAGTTAGTCTTACTTTAGTTATTCTTACAATCTCAGACTCTCTATTCCTTCTTTTCATTTCAAGACTGACTGAAACAAAGTTCATCATCACAATAGTTTTCACCAGAAATTTCTTGAAAAGATTTCTCCTTAGACTCTTACATCCATGTCCATACCTAAATCCTGGCAAGTCTTTCTTCATAAACTAATAAATGGCTTTCCATTTTCGGTCACATAGTTAAAACTCACTCCCTCAAGGCCTGTCATTCCTGTATCAATTATTGCAACATCATTTTCTTCACCTTCACAAATGCAGTCTCCATTGCTTGTATCCACGTGCAATGCTCTTGCTGTCTGTATTATGTCATTCCCTGTCTGTGCTCCTTTGATTCCGTGTCCCCAGTCACAAATACAAGCCTCCTGTCTTTAAATACAAATCTTTGTGATTTATCCCCAGATATCATCTCCCTTCTGCCCTACCTTTGATGCCAGCCTTTGTCACCCACGTTAGATTTTCAAAATTTATGAGTTCCCTTTCGCTGTCCTTCATGTTTTGAAGAAGTCACCTATAAATAACTGGAAATCTCTCTTATAGTACAAAAACTGTCTTAAATTTCTGTCTTGTGATTCCCACAATAGCAATCAACAGACTGCTGAAGTGCTAAGACAATGACCCATTCTGCATTACTGGTTTATTTCTATTTCTCCATCATCTTCTATCTACTTAGGTCTGTTACACAGAGAGTTTTAAGGGATTTCAGGAAGGGACCATCTTTTTGTCATATATGTATAATATTCAAAGCATAGTGCAGTCCTAACCCATGAGTAAAGCCTTGAGGTTCTTTAGTAATACAAATAAAAATATGAATCAAGTTTTACAAATGGATCATGGTGCCTGACTGTAAACACCAGCACACAAAAACCAGGAGGACCGCTGACATGCAGAGTAACTCACAGATCAAAGTATCACAGGATCAGTCATCATACCTTCATCTAGTTCTATTTCTATGATTAACCCAATTATTTCCATTAGATAGTTACTGCGAGAGTAACTCGCAGATCAAAGTATCACAGGATCAGTCATCATACCTTCATCTAGTTCTATTTCTATGATTAACTCAATTATTTCCATTAGATTTTTGTTCGTGTTAAGTACCAAGAGGTTTCAGAATCAGTCTGGAAGCAAGCAACAAACTCCCTTCATAGTGTACATGTTCTTTCATTTATCTTCAATATGAGAGTAAGATCTTACACCCCTGACTACTCCTCCTTTTTAACATCAACTGTCAAGTCTCAGATCTACAGCTGCTTTGTGACAAGGACTTTCACTTGAAGGAGCTATCCTGCTAACTTGGCAGTGCTTGACAACAGACAAAACAGTAGTGAAACTAAATTTATTTTTCACTTTTTCCACTTATTTTCTGAATGTCTCAATGCACTATAGGCCCAACAACTGGCACTAGAATCATTAGGAAAGTCTCTAAGATGAAAAAAAAAAAAAAGATCAAAGTTAACATGTGTTCTTGTTCTATTTTTCTGAGTCAAAAAAGCCTTGCAGTCACAACTGCCCTTCTAGACTTATCTAGTCTTTGTCTGCTGTGCGCCCTATTAATCTTTGTTTTCCAAAAGATGTGTGGACTGTTCGTGAGATACTGTCTGTTCTCAAGAGGAACTTCAAATACTTTCTCAGTACACTCAATCATTTGTTATCTACCCTTTCAAACGGGGGGGGGGCGGAAAAAATAGAGACAACTCCAAAGTGAAACTGTCAGGGCTGGGCTAGTGCCCTGCAACCAAGTCCTCCATACTCTCCTGAATTCTAATTGCTTCAACTGTTCCTGCAGAGGAGGAAATTAGGATTGTCCAGACAAAATTAAGATTATCAAAATAAATGAACATAATCTTGCCTATACATTGCTATCAGAAAGTTCCTAATACTCAGGCAATTACTTTTAGATAGATTCTAAAAAGTAAGTATTGCTCAACAAGCATTCAATGAATCTTTCTCAGATAAAAATTATAAAGATAAGATTTTTTATAGACAGATTAATCCTTCCACACTTCAGGCAAGTGGCACATTATAGCCTCGCCAGAAAAAAGAACATTCATGGATCAGCTGTGCTTAAAAAAAAAACCAACATATTGTCTTACTTTTGAGTCTTGATTTCAGTTTACTTACATGTAACACAGCAAAAAATACAAGTTCCAGTTCTGAGTTCAGACAATGCAGGCAAGTTTGGAACTATCAATCTGACAGCTATTAAACTGTAAATGTAATGACTAACATGCTGAGATATACTTGTTTTTATTTATCCTATCAACAATATTTGCTTAAGATCTCCACATTTACTTACTTTTGCAACTGATCATTAAAAGATGGGACTTTTTTAATTTTTAGACTTCCTGATTTCTTGGATCTAGCCATCCACAGCTCTTGGATAACACAATTGTGCTGACCTGAAAATTGCCTAGACTTTCTACACTTTTGGGGTTCTTGGGGGTTTTTCCATACATTTGAAAAAAAGGTTTGGATTATGGTAGAAACCTAGTACTGCACTGGTAAGACATCGACACTTCAGATCAGTTATAAAATTACTTCATCTGCATTCGTATCATATTAAGGTATAACTTATTACGAATCGAGTCACGACTGTTTAATATATGCCAGATCTCAATGCCTGCAATCTGTTTAGCACAGCTACATTGTCATTTGCTTGCATAAAATTCAAGAGCTTACATAACTCTATGTCTCCAAGCTACCTTTTAGACTAAATTTAGATTTTATCACCCAGAATCTGTACACTTCCCCAGTTGAGATCTCGCTGTTGTCCTGCCCAGGGTGGCTGGAATTTTAGGGAAACCCCAGCTAACTACACAAAACTGGGAGAAGCAAGAAAATAAAGGGTGCAATCAAGATTTAAATGAAAGGGAAAAGCAAGCAATAAATATGAAAACACCATGGCCATGCTGATAACAACTGTGTGATCCCTAACTTCTACTCCTCCATGGCCACATACATGAACAAGTCAGAAAAGGTACGTTTCAGGAGAAAGAGAGTATACTTTGTGTATCAACTTAATTTTAAAATAGTAATAAACTAGAGCTCTGATTCAGTGTATGCTATGTATGCTTACAAGGGTCACCCTTTAGTGTAAAAGAATATGCTTGAAGTATGAAATGGGAGTTTTACTATTTATCTGTGACTTCAAAGACATTTACAGTTGCTCTTTTTAAACTTCAATAAAGTATCTTCAGAAGGCTCCTTGGTGATTCAGTCAATCTTCATGCCTGTGTAACACTCTGTTTGATTTCAGCTTTAAGTGTTTTTTTTTAATTTGTTGTTGTTGCATTCATAACATACCCAGAGCTTCACCGTTCTATCATAAGAGCATGACAGTATTTTTGTGTCTTCAAAACAAAAATGGCAGGAGCTCACGGTATCCCTGTGTCCTCTCAGAATTTTAAATTGGATCTGTAAAGGAACAGAGCAAAGTTTAGAAATATTTTTCCTTTGAATTATTTGACAGCTTACTCCAGGAGGGGGAGTATGAAAGCAAGAACCAGAGGAGAATATTTTAAGTTCCACCTGTCTGAGAAAGACTTCATATCCTTTCCTTGGTAGCAGCTTGGAGCGGATTTACCAAATCTGGTTGAGAAAGAAGGGTTGATGGATGTCAATTTTATTTTTATTTTTCTAGAAGGGAAGGAGGTTTGTTTTAGTTTGGTCTTGTTTCCCAATTCTTCTTCCTCTTATTAAAAGTAATATTTATCTTTAAATGTTGTGAAGTCTCTCTCAAGTCTTTCAAACAGTTCTTTCCTTGATTCTGGCCCATCAAAGGGCAGCACATCAAGCTGTTGGGCCCCACATTTTAGACAAGACTGTTACAAATTTTGTCAAAGATATTTGAAAAGGCTTTTCTTCAGTATTTTAGGAGTTTGCTCATCACTGTCCAGCATGCGTTTGTGTGAACAGAGCTAACAAAAGAAACAAACAAACACACCACAAAAACGGCGGCCGCGAGCATTAACCACACACGAAGTGTCAGACCGCTTTTCAACCCCCAGCTTTCAGCGGCCCCCGACCACCCCCGGGGGACGGAGCCCGGCC